TGAAGCCTGCTCATATGATTGTGGGAAAATTCAACTACCAAACTTTTATCAACTTGAGTGAAATAGGCTGTATACATCTCATATTTAAGAACTTATCAAGCCTTTGTCGAATTAGACGATTTATGGACTGATAGTGGAGCATTTCGCAAAATAGGATGAATATACCTCACTCTGTCATTTACATTCGCTTAGTCTTTACCAACTTAATTATCCTGCAGTTTTGTCCCCTATCCATTTGTAACCCATTTAGAGGAATTATTTAGTACGTTTCGATGCTCAATTCAATGTAATCAGCTCCTTTAGAGTCAAATGAAAATAGCCATTGCGAAATAGAGGCTATCTAAGATAATTTAAATTAAGAATTCTATAACAGAAATTGCTGCATAATTGATACACTATATTTTTAAAGAAAATTTTGCCAAAATAAGGCCACACCAACTGGGTCTTCAAATCTACGACAGCATTTGTAAGCCTAGAAAGCTTAAAATCCGGAAAAAGTAAACTAATTTAAGTAATTAATTCAGCAAAAACCATATATTTTCTCGCACTTGACAATATTTATTATGGCGGTTTAAAATAATATTCGTAATTGCGAATTTGGTATCTTTTTTAGGAGGCTTAAGGGGAATAGTATACATGTAAAAAATGCACTGATGACCAAATTGTATGTATCCCTTCCATCCAGCCTAGGTCACATAAGTTTATGAAGAACTGTTAGTTTTATAGAATTCTTATTCAATATTTGTTGAGAGCTTTGAGGCTCACTTTTTGTCAAAATTATTTTGTAATCAGGATCCAACTTGTCACGGTGATCTATTATTTGGCAGGCATATGGAGCGACTAGCCTTATTGCCAACCTTGTAATAAAATGAAAGAGAGCTTGGTCAGCCCAGGTAGGTTGAGGTGAGTTACGGACTAATAGTCAGAGGAGGACATTATGCATAACGAAAATTCATCAAAATCACGAATGCAAGAAAGGTTGATGCGCCGAGGATATATTCACACAAATCTACAACCACAGCTTCCGATAAAACCAACTCACAAATCCATTCAATTTGCCTCTTCAAACGAAACTAAAACTTCTCCAACAGAATTCACTAAGGGCTTCTTTGAAACCCAGTTTTTCTACTTAAAACACATAAACTCCTCGTGAATTCATTAAAAGCAAGTTGTATGACCGGGAAATTTCGCTGGAATCCTTTACATGCAGCACAAACGAGAATTTCATCAACATTTTTTTGAGACCTCACAACTGCCCCAGGCGGAGAGTGACCTCGCGGTTTGCCCATCTTCTGCCAAATACTTTCTAGCTGGAAGACAATGCTAATGCATATTCCCACCCTCTCTCCAGTTTTTCACCGTTCCCCTCCGTCACTTGGTAAATTTTTAAATAGTCCATTTAGACAAATAACCGACTCTCACGCATCACTTGCACATGTTAGCGATTCAGTCTAATGACGCTGGCCAACCATCACCGGCCCGGATGTAGGGGCCTGGCAACCGTGGCCAAAAACACAAGGGGGCTCCACGTTACCAAGGCGTCATGATCTCCGTTATGGTAAGCCAACCAGACAACCGGACAACCAGACAACCAGACAACCAGAAACAGTCTCCTTTTTATTTGCCCACACGACCTGGGTCGCATTGGCTCGGTTACTAGAGCAGGCGACAACAAATATGCCTTGAAAAAACGGCCCTAGAGTCAGGCGCGTTGAGAAAACACCTCCTAATGCCATGACCTTCTCTGGTTTATTTGTCCAGGCAAACTGTCGCAAGTTTGACGAAGACCAACTCGTTGGCCGTTTGTTGTTTTTTTTAAAAAGGTGATCCCACCTGCACACTTGGAAGTATTACAGAGCCGACGACAACATGAGACTGGACTGATTTAGTGCCAGCATGTGATGTCGCGTTAGCTCGTCTCCTTGGCATGTACGCCGACATCGATACGGATGCAACGGAGACTCAGTCGAAGGGGGTGGGGCAGGGGGAGGTGAGAGGGTGGTTACCGCGATGATGGGTTGGATCGAGGAAATACCTCGGTCAGGGCTGGACTTGCATAAGGCCAATCATGTTTACTTCACTTTTGCGCGTGTTTAGCCGATCGTGCCGGACAAAATGGCTCCAATTCGAGGCCACATGCACGTCGACCCCATTCACGGTTGTTTGGTTAGTTGTTGAACAGGAAACAACATGGCTGAATAGAACAATCCTGTCACTTTCGAACAAGAACATTCTGACGTTGCGTGAAGCTTGAATGTAAACCTGAAGGTTTCAGTTCCTCGTTATACGTACTGGGGGACAGACGTCTTTATCTGGACTTCCTAGCCGTTTGTAGCCGGAACTCTGGGCATTTTGGTTTCGGAGCCACAATACAAGATTTACCTGTAAACGGGGAGGGAGAAGGAAAAGGGAGAAGGCCTGGTGCCATATATTTTATTATTTTTACTTAGAGGGGTTGCAGTTTTTATGATTTTTTTAACAAGCTTTTTTTGTCCTTTCAGAGATACATTAATATCTCTTTGATGTTTTTTTGCCTTCTTAGTCTGGATTTAAACTAAGCATATTCTGATCATAGCTAATAAATACGTTTGAAAGGTACTTATTATATATATATATTTATTTTTTTTAATTTTGGTTATAATTCTATGCCTATTGTTGGAATGGTGGTTAGCATATCCTTGGTGAGTAAAAAATTAAAGTATATGAATTGGTTGACAATATATTTAAACCGGTCTTTTGATTGAGATTTACTATAGGCTTCCATAAATATGTTCAAAGATTATTTCAACAAAATTATCAGTGTAATCGCTTTATTGTTACTTGTTTAAAAGAAAAATTATTAATTTTATTAGGGTAGACCTTAAGTGGACCAGATCAGGATAAGTCACGTCTTCCAAATTTGCCCTATTCTCAGCATCGAGCCGTTGACCTGTCGAGCCGAATATGCTAAAATATTTTATTGATGGAGGTTGCATAAAATAACCACTACCTTTCCAAGTTAATAATCGTTTTTATTGAAGCAACATTATCTCTAGTTAAAAATATTCTATTCTTGGTACCATTGGTATGGCTAAAATTCATTTTTTCACGGCCCGTAATAAAAATAGGTCCGTCCTTCTCTACGTAGGGATTTACCTTTAAGAGCTGCGTTCCCATATTTTATATCATTGAATGAAGAATTAATGGTTGAATTTTGCCACCATTCACTTAGAAGGAAAGTCTATAAAGATAAGCTTCGAAGGTCGATATCATCAGAAGAGGATGGCTGAATCTCGTTGTACTGCAACCGTTTGGCTTTTATGTGATGTTCATGTTGATGCAGTCCACGATACCTACTCCCTCGTTTCGGGAAACATTATCAGAGCTGGAACTCATTCTTGTAAAAGCCTCACGTTAACACTAGATCAGGAATACTATCCAGCTCTATCTTACCTCGTATATAGATTCAATAAAAAAAAATTTAGAGACATGGATAAAGAATTTTTCGGCTAATTATATTTATTATTCGTCCTGCCGCTTTTGCTAAAATGTGTTGGTATATTAACGTCTATACACAATACCGATTCTAAACAAGAGTGATCAAAAAGGTTAATGTTAGGCTCTGGTCATCGAGACTTAATGACCAAAGAAAAGGCCCTGACCGAAATTGCGTAAGTCTGTCAGCAAGCCTAGTTAAACTAGTGAATTGTAAGCTAGTATGTGTGTAAGTTAAGTTGTCAAACACCTGCCCTAACCTCTAAGTCTAGGGCTTGCCAAACCATTCCATATCTATCTATGCCTTTTAATATTCTTTTGCTTAATTGAGTCTAAATAAGAGGTATGATAAAACCGGATAGTCTTCTTGTCCTAGTGTTAACTTGAGACTTTACAAGAATGAGTTCCAGCTCTGATGATTTGCATCAGATGATGGACGAAAGCTCTGTTTATTATCACCCGACACAAGGGAAAAGGTCTCGTGGACTGCGTTAATCCGAACGTCGTTTTAAAGCCAAAATGATTACCGTACAACAGGATTCATCCGTCCTCATCTGGTGAGATCGACCTACGAATCTATTCTACATGCACGCTTATACGAAATGAAAATCGTCTTAACAATGTTATCTCAGGAGATTCATAGAAACCCAGTTATTCTTTGTGCCTAGACCTTTCACAATTCATATTTCTGTAGTGGGATTTGCAACAAAACAAATTTGTATAGAAGTTGTTTGACCTTGTTTTCGCAACTTGGTCATATTGGTAGGAAGACTTATAGGAAAC